TTTTTGGTTTTTCGAGACAGGGTTTCTCTATGTAGCTCTGCGCCTTTCCTGGAACTCACTTGGTAGCCCAGGCTGGCCTCGAACTCATAGAGATCTGCCTGCCTCTGCCTCCCGAGTGCTGGGATTAAAGGCGTGCACCACCACCGCCCAACAACATTACTATTTAACGTTGTTTGAGTACTGGCTACATCAGCATCAGCTTGGAACATTTAGAAATTCAAAAATCTGCATTTACAATTGTTTTGTTTTGCCAGAATTCTCAGGTGGCCCATTTATTCATACATTACAACTTCAGAAGCAATATTTCAAACTAAAGAATGCAGCTATATGGATAGCTATAGTTAGCCACAAGACAGATGTTTCAAATGCAAAATAGAGCTGGAGAGATGTTGTAGTGGGTAAGAGAGTTTGCTGTGCAAGCACATGTATCTGCGTTTGATTTCCTGCAGGTCACACGTGTCTGTAACTTCAGGGTTGGGGTATGGAGATGGGCAGATCCTATGAGCTTGCTGATCAGTCAGCAAGCAGAAAGAGAACTTCAGGTTCAGGGAGAGATCCTGTCTCAAGAGATTAAAATGAGAGAGATAGAGAACATCATCCCACCTCCCCTGGCTTCCACATATGTATGTAGTGGTGTGTGCATGTACACAGAGACACAGACACACAGACACACACACACACACACACACACACACACACACACACACACACACACACACACACACACACACGCACATACACACCATAAACATACCATACTACCCAATAAGATAAAATAAATACAAAATAGAAAAGCAGCAGTATATAAAGATAGTTATGCTACTTTTCAGCATTTCAATAACTTGAAAACTTTTCTTTCAAGCATGTATATTTTAGGGACTTGCTGTTATTCATGTCATCTTGGTCATTCAAGGCAAGGCTTGTGTAGAAGGAGAAGTAACAAAAACCCCAACTCTCCCTTGTCCCTCACTTTAGTTGAGATCGCTCAGAAGTCCTTGAACTTTCATTGCCTCCAGCCTATTCTTTCTCTTTATACATTGTCATTTGCTGCTTAGGCCTGCCAGAGTGTCCATACATTTCTTCTGTCCTGCCAAATCCTCTAGATAGCCAAGGCATTATCTTTAAGTTTACCAGGATTTTTGAATTAATTTTATAATAAAAACTTCATAATTTTGGGGGGCCTGCAAGAAGGTTCAGTGCACAAAAGTGCTAGCTATACAAGACTGGCCATTTGATTTTGATCTTTGGAAGCCATGTCAAGGTGTAAGGAAAGAGCTGACTCCACAAAGTTTTCCTCTGATTGCTACATGCTTCCCATGGCACTTATGCCACACTCACATGTACCGTGCACATACATGTTTTCCTTTGTTTGTTTTTTGAGACAGGGTTTTTTTGTGTAACTGTCCTGGCTGTTCTAGAACTTGCTTTGTAGACCAGACTGGCCTTGAACTCACAGAGATCTGCCTGCCTCTGCCTCCTGTGTGCTGGGAGTAAAGGAGTGCACCACCACCACCCAGCATATATATATATATATATATATATATATATATATATATATATATATATATATATATACACAATCCCATAGTTTTAATGAGTAGCTATTTGTTTTGTTTTGCTTTTTTCATTCTAAGAAGCTACATGTCAAAGGAGACTGTGCTTTAGCTAGGCCTTGTCTTGAAATTCAGTCATATATTTTTTCTGGCTGTGTTATATTATTTTTGTCAAGTTATTTACATTTCTGAGACTGGAAACTGTTGTGGAATATTAGTTGAAGATGTATGACATTTATGCAGTGGAATATTTTTTTAATGATGCAAAGATGTGTTGTATTCTTTTATATTATGTTTGTTTAACTCTATGAAGCTGTGTTAAAACTGTGTGTGAAAGCTGTGTGCCTAAAAAACCTGATTGGTCTAATAAAGAGCTGAACAGGTAGGAGAGGGATAGGCGGGGTTGCCAGGCAGAGAGAATAAATAGAAGAAAAGAGAAGAGGGAGGAGCTAGAAGAAGAGAAGGAGAAGAGGATGCCAGGGTCCAGTCACCCAGCAACACAGCCAGCCATGAAGTATGAAGGAAAGAAAGAGATATGGAATAGAGAATGGTAAAAGCCCAGAGACAAAAGGTAGATGGTATCATTTAAGTTAAGAAAAGCTGCCCAGAAACCAGGCAAGCTAAGGCCAGGCATTTATAAGTAAGAATAAGTCTCCGTGTTTTTATTTGGGAGCTGGGTGGTGGACTCCCAGAGAGCAAAGAGTAAACAAAACAAAACAAAACAAAACCAACTGCAGGAAACCCCTAAATATAGGTAGCACTGCTTTCTAATGGGTTCTTGTAATTTGAATGAGGCATATGAATAGCCCAAGACACTAGTGCTCAGTGTTAGCTCCCTTTTCTGTTAGGGTTTAAGGGAAGAATGGGAAGGAAGTGGGGAGAGGAAGGAGCCCGAGCTTGGGTGAGGTATAGTCCATTTTCTTACAAATAACCATGTTCAATGGTCATAGGTTACTGTTATATTTGTAATGCTTAGTACAACATCTCTCACAAAAATGTGGTAGGCATTAATATCCACTGAAAGTAGACACAAGTCTCCAACTCATTCATGTACAGGAGAGGAAAACTGCACCACATTAACTCTGCAGTAGGTCAAAAGACCAGGTGCATGAACTGGTAGCAGAGACTGCATCCCCTAAACCCAGTGGGAGAAAATAAGTTCTGTGACAGAGGAGTCCAGTGAACCTATTTAGTGTCTATGAAGGCTACACCAGGTGGCAATTCTGGCTCCCTAAATTTCTATTTTCTGAATTCCTACCCTCATTTCCATTTCCAGAAAAATATTTTTTCTCACACTACATTCAGAATTGATGAGTAGTTTAGAGAATGGGGAGGGGTCTACTTCTTTAATATAAAGTAATTCAACCCTGAGAAGCTTCTAAATACAACCTGATGTGCTCATTCAGATGGCATGACTGCATATCCTTTGGACTAACTAAAGAATGGAAAACATATGAGTAATTAACCCACAGTTCCCATGTGGTATTTGTACAGCACTCCAGAGCACTAGGCATTTCTCACCACCTTTACACTCTGTATAATAGTGTGATGAGTATTTCCCTTTATTCTGAGATCACTCTGGAGCCTGGAGCAGGATGATGGAGCTAATGACCAGGGGTTGGAACATTCCTTCTTGTCTTAGTGTTTCAAGTAATCACCAAATAGGGCAATAATGATGTTTTATACATCTGATAAAGATTATGATGGGTTTTGCCTCTTTCCTTGTAGATCAAAGGAGGACCTACCATTACTACAGCACATTGCCATTCACAAGTGACAAGCTGTATTCTGAATTTGGAAGAGAGGCTTCTAAAAATTTCACAGAAATGAGCCAGAGAATTGAAACTATGGTAAGTAGGTTTTTTCTCCATGTTTATGACACTGAGCATATCTTTCTGAAATAATCAATTGATTCCCTGCATATCTTTGAAAACTGATAGGACATCATATATAAGGGATCTGAAACAAAGCTCATAATAGCTGACTTGGAAGACTACATCAGTAAGGCCAAACCAAGTAGCATCTAGCCACTGTGAATGTCCCTTCCACTCTCCTTTTCTACAATGTGTTACTTTTGATCAACATAGTGCAGAAATTCTGGAGCTGTGGGGCTGACCCAGAATAAGGTTCTTTTACACAGACATCCATTCTAGGGAAGAGTCTCTGAGCAAAAGAATGTACTATTAAATTAAAACCATTCAGACCCATATATAAACACTGTGCTTTAGTTGTAGACTTATCTAATGCATCAGTTTGGTTGATACAAAGCATCAGTATTCATCCTGGGGGAGGAATTCACTAGTTAAGAAAATAGAAAACCAGCAGCACGGATCAAAAGAACAAAGGCCTGCGTGATGAATTTCCGTTACTATATTACTTAGACAACAATTTGGAAGTTTCTTGGCTAGTGAGATAATTTATGGTATGACATGATGGAAAGAGAATTGAAGAGCAACTTCTGCCATGAGCCGTCAGTCAGTGACATGTCGGTGTGTGGCAGATCACTTTTCATTCCAGACAAATTTCCTTGTATGTTAATTCAGCTTTTAAGTTAATGTAATTTGCAAAAATGTCTTTTAGTTTCAATATTCTGAATAGGGACAGAATGGAAATAACCTGCATTGGTCTGCTTTTGTTGCTGTAGGGAAATACTTCAATAGTCTAGTTCCTAATGAATGGAGGTTATTTTGGTTCGTGGGTTGGAAAGTGCTAACTCAAAGGGTTGTATCTGAAGATGATCTTCCCTTCTTGGCAGATACAGCAGGGAGCCTTACCATATCACCACACTAAAGACGGAGAGCACTTGAATAGTGAGTCTCTCCTGCTCTCCCACTCTTCTTCAGAGCCACCAGGATTCAATCATGAGCTCTACCCTAATAACCGTATCTAATCTGACTCACCTCCTGAATGCCCCACCTTTATAAACACTATGATTTTTCACTCTCTAACTACATTACAATGGGGATTAAATTTTAGTGCATGAAGTCCTGGGAGGCCTTCCAACCATGTCTAAACCTTAAACCGACCGACACCCTTTCACGGAAACTGTGTAGCTCTCTGAGGTCCTGGTGAATTGTGTACGATGGAAACATCAAAGGACCTCTTCCCTAATGTTAATACACACGTAAAGTAAGAAAAGTGGGGGTTGGGGATTTAGCTCAGTGGTAGAGTGCTTGCCTAGCAAGTGCAAGGCCCTGGGCTCGGTCCTCAGAAAGACGAAATGTTATTAAATCCCTTATGTTTTGGGCCATTTACCAAAATGAATTTTCTAAGATCTAAATTGATTTCAATCTAAAAGAATATAGATCTTTAGTACCTTAATAATTTTGAAATACTTGATAAAAATAAACCCTTAAGTGAAAACATCCAAGTGAGCGGCAATACAAGGACATAACCATACTATAGTCGCTGTAACATCAGTTCTGGAACCAACAAAATGCAAGAATAAAAAGTTAACTCTGCAAATCACCAGTCTGCACTCACTGTGTCTCAAGAATATCCACACACTGAAAACAAGAAATCACTGAACTCTTTCCTTACTCAAGTCCTGATTTTAAAGTTTAAATTCACTTGTATGATTCATAGCCAGAAAAAGCTTCACAAATATACTTCTGTCATCTTACTAGAGGAACTTTGTAGCTGTGGTTGTTCAGAGCTCCAATTCACGAGCTTCTTTCTCTCAGAGCATTTCCAGTCTGATCTGGGCACTCAGCAGGAAAGCACACTTAGTCACTGTTTCATCCAACCCTGACACACATTCGTTCCTACAAACCACTGTCATTTAGGAGAATTACCTCATTCCTTCTTCAAAACCATGAGTCTGAACAATTTTTTTTTTGTGTCCTTTAAATGCTCAGGCATTTTGTCACAGTGATAGAAGTCTGAAAAACTAAAAGAAATGCTTCATTTTCTTTGTCTGTCTGCAGTAAAAGTCCTTAACTCAGGAAGCAGAGGGTGAACTATTTTAAGGAAACAGCATGCTCACTGTCTTTGATAGCCTTCTGAGCGGAGTGTGTTAGGTCCTCACTGGCCTCAATGTGGCTGTCATTCTGAATACAGAGCTCAGCTCCTGACAATGGGTAGGATGCCACAGAAGACGCGTCAGCTTCAGTCCATTGTGAATGTTCTCAGTGTGTTTTGTTTGCTTGCTTGCTTTGTCTTGTATTTTAATTTTCTCTGGAGTATTGGATTAACTTGAAGGATTTCAGAAAACTGTTCTTGCTGACTTGTTTTAAATGTCTTCAAACAGGTGAAAAATGCATTTTATAAATCTCCACTGAGGGGACAACTTGTCAAGGCTCACATCATTAAGTTCAGGTGTGTAGACCGAAGATGCTATGCTGTATTTAACTTAATGCAGAGACGTTTTTTAATGCTGAAATTTTTAACTTGGTCACTGACAAATATGTTGTAAAATACTGATAATGTGATGTGATTCAGTTTTACAAGCATTTATTCATCTACTGTATGAAATCCATGGGCTAAAGCGTACTTTATTTAGTCTCTAATTTGAAAACGAACATTTGTGAGATGCCTGCTGAAGACAGAGGTATAATTGAAACCAATATTATAGTGTGTGTGTGTGTGTGTGTGTGTGTGTGTGTGTGTGTGTGTGTGTAAACTAGTCATCACAATTGGGGATTAATTTAATAGCAAGCAGTATCCTGGCAAATGAGATCTTTATGTTTTCATGTCTTCTATTACCCACCCCTTATCTTAGCTAATTTAGCCTATTTTCTTCTATTCTATATTTTTTTTTTATTATATTATCTTTATTTCTCGTTTGTTTAGCGACCGTGTTTAGGAGTTTTATGTGCTGTCTCCCGGGTTTGGGGAGTTTGGGGAGTTTGGGATTTTTTTTTTTTTTTTTTCTTCTTCTTCTTCTTATTATTATTATTTTACAACACCATTCAGTTCAACATAATAGCCACAGAATCCCCTGTTCTCCCCCTCTCGCCCACCCCTCCCCCCAGCCCACCCCCCATTCCCACCTCCTCCAGATCA